TTCTCCTGGCCACACACCTGATCTTCTGGTAGGAAAGATCTACACCTACTAGCCTTCTCGGACAAGGGCAAAAAAATGTCAGAGTGCCCGTGTGCAAGTTGCGCACGTTAACGATCCCTTAGTGGTCTAAAATCGATAAGAGTGAGTTTCGGCCGTCACCCAGGCAAAATTCAAAATTTTCTACCTACTGAACATATTAGGTGTGTCCAGCGCGCTCATATTTATGCAGTTGCAAGCCTCTTAAAACACTTACAAAAAACAAACAAACAAACAAACAAACCGTCAATGGATTGCCTGGGCCCCCGACGATACAGTCAACTTACTGCCCAGGAGTTTTAAGCCCAATATTTTAATTTTTTCCAGATTGTGTTTTTTTTCTATGCACAATCGTTTGCATGTGCTCAAGACAGATTTTATCGATTTCCAAATTCTAAATGTAAAAAAAAAGAAAACATTGGAAAACAGTCCCTGCAAAATGTTGTTCCAGTTGTTAAAAGAAAGAAACAGATTCTTCTCATACCGGAAAAGTTAGATTCTAAATATTATACACACACACACATATATATATATATATATATATATATACATATCTCTCTCTAAATATATATATATATGTATATATATATTTATGTATATAAAAACGTAGGTACAATCGTTAAAAGAATGAAGTATACCCTACTGTCTCCGACAAAATATTTGCTGTCGAGGTTTTGAACATCTGCCCGCCGATGTGCCGTGGAAGCTATTTCCAAACTCTTAAAGTTCGTCTCTGGGAAAGCCTGTAAATAATTCTGTCTGTCTATGGTAAAAAAAAAAAAAAGGAAATGCAATTACACCAAGGAACTAATTTCCAAACTGTTAAAGCTATTTCTTTCCTCTGCGTCTAAGTCCCACCTCAATTAAGGCTTATAACAATATACGTTCGTTGTAAATATACTTGGCCAGGCTTCTAGAATAAGTAAAAGAACAGGTTTCTCAGGAAGTCTGTGTACTAAAGTGTGCAATCTATTGGCTCCCGTTGGTAGCTTCAGCTGGTCTTACTTTCAAGGTGTTTCTACCACCTTCTAATTGCCTCAGGTGCAAACAAAAGACGGGGAGGCATAAGGAGGTGTAAGGAGGTGTAAGGAGGCTTTGGGGAAGAGATCTTTTCTAATCTTATTGACGGGCGACGGCATTTTCTGGCAGCCCAGTCCTCCTAGATTGAACCTGAAGGTCAAAGGATATTATTTGTTGTAATTTAATAAGTTACAAGAGCGAGGATCTTTGTTTGTGTGTGTGTTTGTGTGTGTGTGTGTGTGTGTGTGTGTGTGTATGTGTGTGTAAGAGAGAGAGAGAGAGAGAGAGAGA